AGGTTTAAGTCCCCACCAGAATATAAAAACCTCACACACACACACTCACACTTTCTCACACACACACATACATACATACACTCACACACACACACACACACACACACACAGAAGTACTGTTTCTGATCTTGAAATGTTCCTTGAATAACTAACTCCATGTGTGTTTTCTCTGACAGGTTCAAACTCCTCTTGAACAAGAGATTTTCAGACTCTTGCACATCAACAGCCAGCCTGTCGCTGACCCTGTTTTGACTCCTGTAGAGGAGCAATCACTTAAAGCCATGAGCTTGGAGGAGGTATGACTTTCATAAAGCTTCTGTTCTATTGCCTTAGAGGTTTACAGCCGTTTTTGTGACATTAAGTTATTAATGGTTACAGAGCAATGTTGCTACATTTAGTGAGTCACGCCCTCATGGGTCCTGCCATGTTAACGTCACATGGCATCACATGAGTTACTCTTACTACTGCTGCTAATGCTCCATGTAACACTTTCAGTCAAGGTGCAGAACTTCATAGGATGCATGCTCATGGTGCATAAACAGAAAAAAACAAGCAACTTGAGAAAATGCATTAGACTTACTAGCCAACCCTGTTTAGCTCCAGCCTTAATCAAACACACCTGGACCAGCTAATCAAGGCGTTAAGGATTGTTTGAAAATAGCAAGTGTTTTGGAGCATGTTGGAACTGAAACTATTGTGTCAAAATGTATCACCGCCATTAAATACAGGGTTCCCGCAGGTCCTTAAAAAGTCTTCTATTTAGTTTGATCAAATTTAAGTCCATAAAAGCCTTAAATATCTCAAATGGCACAAGAAAAGTCTTAATAATTCAAGAGGTGTTCGATTTGGGGATGGAAAGACAAGAATGGATGATTACGGATTAATGTGAGGATTAAACTTAAAAAGATTATGATTTTATGGAATAAATATGAGCGCTGCAGGATTCAAAGACAAACCGAGGCGCTGGTGATTTTACAGTATATGAATGTATCGCTGAAGGGAAAAGCTATAACGATTATGAGCGCAGTGCTGCTTTGATTACAGCATTACCGTGGAAACCGCTGTATTTCTGATGCCACAGGCGCCTCCTGCTGGCTGAGAATGAATGTGCGTTTTCAATAAGCCTGTCTGCAGTTTGTTCAGACCAATGCGAAAATCGACCCATGTTTTTACGCAGCAAAGTTGTAAATGTGAAGATAATGTGCCTTCTAAAAATCTGAACAATTAAGATAAGCAAGATATTTTAATACAATAATTTATAGCCTACATTTGACTCATCGCCTTTTTAAAAAATGGTTTAAAGGCTGAAATGTGATGTTTATCATTTTGTAAGACATTTTGTTTTGTGAAAACCTGTATCTGAACTCTAAATCATATAATTTTATGGTTTAATATGATACCGTAGACATTACCCTTCCCGCTAATATTAATTTTATTTGTGCAGGTCTTAAAAAAGGGTCATAAAGTCTTGAATTTGAATTAAGAAATCCTACAGATACCCTGTAAATAGTGAAATAAAATTCCTTCCTTGATATTTGTGTTTTGAAAATGTTTTTGATTGATGATTCTCAATGGAGAAAAAATAGATAAAAAGGAAAAATGAATGATAAATACAGCTTTAGTGTGAAGTGTTACAAACTTTATGTAATGTATATGACCGTTTTGTTAAATTGAACATGCATTTCTTTAGTGTTTGGTACGCGTCTCTTTTGCTGTAATGACCGTATGTATGGCATGGACTCCACAAAGCCGTCTCAGTGCCGTTCTCATGCTATAATCAATTAATGTTACTCGCAGTGAGATGGTGTGGCGATGAAGTTTGTTTTGATTGGTGTTCATTCTATAATTAAGCCATTTGGGATGATGCTGTTATTCTAAGTAAATCTGAAATCCACATTTTAGAGCAGAATACTGTTGATATGATATGGTTCCAAATTAATGCTTATGAGTGGTCACCAAGCTGCACATTAATTATTCTATCTTTGAATAGTTCTCATATGTAATCAGTTTTATTTACTTTTTTTTTTTTATGTTCCGCTTTGTGACGATTTTTTGTGTGGCAGGCTAAGATTCGTCGCGCCGAGCTTCAAAAGGCAAGAGCGCTCCAGTCGTACTACGAGGCAAAAGCCAAAAGAGAAAAGAAAATCAAGAGCAAAAAGTGAGTTCTACAACTGAACATTTCTGTCAACTATTTATTAGTCTTTCTTTTATCTTAAGTGCGAAATGCATCTTCCTCAGGTACCACAAGGTTCAGAAGAAAGCCAAGTGTAAGGATTTTCTGAAGCAGTTTGATGAAATGGTAAAGACGAATCCTGAAGGAGCTCTGGAAGAGCTAAAAAAGATGGAGCTGTCCAGGATGGAGGTGCGTGGTGAACTGTAGGGACTGTGTGGAAAGAAAGATTATGAATAAGTGAGAATTATTTGGGCGTAAATATATTTTTCCTTGTTTTCTCTGCAGGAGAGGATGTCTCTGAAGCATCAGAACAGTGGCAAGTGGGCAAAATCAAAGGCCATTATGGCTAAATATGATGATTCGGTGAGAGTGTTTGATGTTTTTGATAGTGGAATGAGACTGAAAATGTTATTTATGGTTCCTGTTCTTTGTCATCAGTTTTATTACCATAATAAACTGTGACATTTGCGTGTCTCCCATGCTCTTCAGGCACGCAAAGCAATGCAGGAGCAGCTGCAGATGAATAAAGACCTTACCCAGAAGATCGTGGTGCCCTCTGATGACGAGCATGAAAGTAATGAGGAAGGGTTGGAGACGGTTCCTGATTTTGTGAACGACTCTGAGCCAGTCATTGACTCTGTCAACCCCTGGATGAGAGGCCAGCTTACACACGAAGAGCCTGAGGTCAGCTGTGTCACAACTGAGGATGTGCAAACCGCAGAAGAGGAGAATGAGGAAGAGGAACTCGTTGGAGAATTTGAGAGGAAGAGGAAGCTGAGGCAAGCTGATGAAGAGGACTTGATTCCTACAGAAGAAGAGCGTAAGAGAGCAGGCTTAAAGAAAATACGTACGATTCTGCCATTGTTTGCTCAGTCTCGTGTCATTCTCGAACTGATGATTTACTTTTTTGCCATGGAACACAAAAGGAAAGATTTTCTATAATGTCCAAACTAGGGATGAGTGATATAATATATTGAGATTAGGGCTGTCACTAACGATTATTTTGGTAATCGAGTAATAAATCGCTTATTCTGACGATTAATCGAGCAATCGGGTAATTGTGTGGTATTAAAAATAGAAGCGAACAATAGACTTTAAAATGTCATAATAGCAATGAGGCGATAATAATTGGTTCAAAATAAATAAAATATCAAAAGCAAGTAATCATGTGGTTTTATTCAGGGCTGCGCGATTAATCGAAATCGTGATTTGGCTTGATGTGATTATTGAATCTCAAAGACTGCGATTTTTAATTAAATATATGCACAGCGCCAGTAGTAAATGCTGCTCATCTCACCCCCGAGATGGCTTGAACACAGATAAACCATATATTGGCGTAGGTTTATTGTCTTCAATCAGTTCAGGTGTTTCTATCTTCTTTTAATTCAGTCACAGCGACGGCGAGATACCTTTGTCCATATTAGGGATTTCCTGGAACGTCATGTGTTCTATTACTTCTGCATGCATTTGTGGAGTTTCTGCGCGAGGGAAAAATAATACTTCTTTCTAAAGAAATTTGAAGTAAACCTATGATAATCCATGTTTTTATCCAGTGTATAGAAGTGTACAGGAGTTTGTTTTTCTGTGTATAAAAGACTCATATTTCATATTAAAGACATGGACACCATTTTTGATTTTACATCCTGATAAAAATTAAGAAATATTTGTTATCATAACAGTATCATATGATGTACAGTTATAGGCCTGTATGTTAACAAGTAACCTTGCAGTTTTCTGTCAAATAAAATCAGTATTGTTAGTATCTTATCAATTTTGATCTAATTATTATATAATTTTTTATTAATAATTACATTTTAAATCGCAATTCGATTTTTTCCCCAAATCGTGCTGCCATAGTTTTATTGAACAAAATAGTTCAAATGCATAATGTAATAAAACAATATAATCGTAACTTATGTATATTATGCATTATATAAAATGCCTGCAGAGGGCGCCAATGGCCGGATCGGGTATCAGTCAGACGACCGTATACTATTGTGTTATTGTTAAGTTCCACGAAAGGCACAAACAGATTATAAAGCACCATAAAAATTCCATGCACTATATTCCAAGAGTTCTGAAGCCGTTCCATAGTTTAATGTGAGGTTCAGATGAATATTTAAGTCGTTAGTAAACTCTTCTCTCCGCTGCGGCTGTCAGTCTTCCTCCATTTGGCATTCAATCTGTGTTTATAATAGTCTGCCTTCATCTGTTAATTGACCTTCAGTCTCCTTTATTATTGTTAAATGTGCAATACTGAGCAATCAACAGAAGTTGGTACACCTGTCGGAATTTGCTTCTGTTTTTAATAACTCATTTACGACTGCCAAATCAGAGTTCTCTCATTTATTCATTCTCATGGACTTGAGTTGCATAATGAAGTGTATGTGGTGATTCTCATCCAAACTAGTTTCTGGTATTTTTTTTTACAGAACCTGCAAGCGAGGTGGTTGAAGATGTGGTTGAGGTTTCTGACAAAGAGGAGGAGGAGGAGGAGGAGGAGGATGATGATGAAGAGGAGGAGGACGTTTCGGAGTTTAACACCCTTTTCAGGCTCATGAGGAGCGAGAAGACACTTGAGGGTTCAAATCCGACACGAGAAGGCTTGAACACACCCGGGCAAGAAGATGAAGACGGACTTTTGAATGAAGGACAGGTTCGAGTCAGGAATATAGAGGACCTGGAGGTTTTAGGCGAGGTTGTCGACCCCCAACCCATTGCGGAGCCGTCACTGCCACAAACCGCTGCTGTGGAGGCCACTTCTGAGCCACCCAATAAAAAGAAAAGGGAAATCGACCTCAAAGAAGTACTCACCAAAGAAGCCAAAGCCGTCAAAGTTCCCTTTTTGCCAACAGTGGTTGATGAGGAAGTGAGTTGAATTTTAAATGAAGTGTAACCAGTAGACCTTAGTGAGGGTAAACACCACGGCTGCATCCAAAAGCACATACTCGCTTAAGTAGGTACTTCTCTTGAATAAGTAATTACTTCACGTCCACTAAAGAAAAGGTATGTTTTTATATAGTATGATCTGTTGTGTTGCTTCACAAGTCCTAGTGGGTTAGTAAAGTGTCCGTCGGATGCACACTTCAGAATCTTGCTGCTGGAGATAGAAAGTCATCTGCATACTTTTCGTCTACTGTTGTATGAAAACCGTGATTTTGAACGTACCACATACCGTTTTTCGCCTACTGTGTAGTAGGGAAGTTTGCGATTTCAGATGCAGCCCATATGTAAAGACTGTCAGATATAGATGTTCAGTGTGTGTGCTTGTGGAAGTTAGACCTGTAAGATTCTGAAAAACCCACTGAACAGAATTGCCAGCCCTGACTGAGATCTTTCTCTGTTAACTTTGACATTTAGGGCCGTATTTTAACGATCTAAGCACATGGCACAAGTGTACTTAGTGTGTGTCCGAATCCACTTTTGCTAGTTTAACGACGGGAAACATGGTCGGCGTGCCGGGTGCATGGTCTGAAAGGGTTGTGCCTATTCTCTTAATGAGTTGTGGGTGTGTGTTGGGTGTAACGTGCCATAAACCAAACAGAGACTCCTCTGTCATTCCCTTTAAAAGCCAGTTGCGCTTGTGCCATGGCGAATTCGCTATTTACACGGCAGAATTTGCAAAGACTGTATGCTTCTCCAGAGAAGAGAGGTTCTGCTCTGACCATCTACGGGGCACAATAATAATCTTTTACATTGTAATCCTTTCATTTGTAATATTTGGCATGTTTGTGCGCTGCTGCGCGTTTGCGCTCCCCTGTGTTGTGTTAAAAAGCGTGCGTTTTTTCCCCCCGCCTATAGGCGCATATTACTAATGCACTCTTTAAATAAATAAAAAAAATATTGCGCCGTTGACTTTAGACCAGGTTTCAGCTGGTCCGCAGTCTATTCCAGTTGCCTCAAAATAGAAATGCGCCTGAACACACCTCGTTTTCAGACCAGCACGCCCTTCGGTGCACAAATGCGTTTGCTGTTTAAACGACGTGGCGCAGGGCGTTGAAAATGATAACCGTGTCTGGCTGAAACGAGCAAAAAACACTTGCGTCGCACTGGGTGTATGATAGGGAGCTAAGTTTTTGAGTTGTATGCTGCATTTTCCTGTATTTAAAATGTTTTCCCTTTTTTATTTTAGGAGCGTGATGAACAGATCTCCATCATCAAGGAGGCGTTTGCTGGGGATGATGTTATTTCTGATTTCATAAAGGACAAAAGCAAACGGGAAGCTGCTGGGAGGCCTGAAGTGGTGGACCTGACTCTGCCAGGCTGGGGAGAATGGGGAGGAGTTGGTCTCAAACCCCCCCGCTGGAAACGCAAAAGGTAATGCTATTAAATCGTTCTTATCTTTAACTTTCAAAACATTTTCTCTCCTTTCCCCAGAGTTTTTCTCTCTCCTATACTAGCTTAACCTTCTATCTAGTCATTTGTAATTAAAATGTTTTAAAGAAAATAAGTAGCACTTCTGAGATTGTGTAAAGTGGTGCTCACTTGAGATGAAGACTCATTTGCACAAAGACTTGGATTTACTTACAGCTTGCGCCGCTACAAACCTGGCTGTGATAGTTGCTTGTAGTATACTGCGTTAGTCATTACGGAAATGATCTGGTTGTGTCTGTTCGTTAGTTGTGCGACGTCAGAAGATCAGCTGCAGAAATGTCCACTACCGTCACTTTTACGGGATTTCAGTCTCAAGCTCATTTTCACTGTTTAGTGAATCTGGCCCTTCATGTTATCTTTTGAATGGAGCATACGTTCATGTGCTCTTGATTTGATATCGATTCTTTTGAAAATGCTTCAAATCTATTTTTATTTCTCCTAACACTGTAACAGGGAGCACTCTTACTTTGTAGCGAGTTCCGCCTTAAGTTGACAAGTTTTTGTTTTTGCACAGCAATCTAACCGTGCGTGCACATCCTCAGCTCAAAGCCTTATCATAGCACTAATGGTTCATTTGTCTCTGTAGATTTAGGATAAAAGCGGCCCCACCTCCTCCACGGCAAGACCAGAAACTGCCTGATGTCATCATATCGGAGAACAGAAATGCATCAGTCGCTGCTCATCAGGTAACCGATCGTCTGGCGACACTCAAAAGTAGCAGAGTTCTATGAATTTGAGTATGAGAATCTCTTTCGCTCATGAATGCATCGAATTCCTGATTTTGGGACGAGATGCTAAACAAAATAGAATGGAAGTTTTTGTTGAACCAGCTAAATTCATTTAATTTTATTTATTTTTTTTGGCATGATGGAAACAAGTGACAGAAGTTTCTCATAAACTGAAAGGAAGCCCAACACTGCATCTCTCTAATTATTATTATTCTTGTTTTTTTTCATAGGTTAGTCAGCTGCCGTTCCCTTTTCAAAACACTGCACAGTTTGAGTCTTCCATCCGTACGCCTATCGGCCCGACATGGAACACGCAAAGTGTTGTGAAGAATATGACGAAACCCAAAGTTATCACTAAAATGGGTGCAATCATTGAGCCTATGGTCAAAGAGCACTTCATAAAGAATAAGACCACGACACCAGGGGGTAAAGGACCAGCAATCATGCTGGGAGAAAACAAACGGGCAAAAGAGGGCGCAAAGCGGTCATCGGAAAAGCATCGAGGAAGAAGATCGCAGAAGAGGAGAAAGTAACCGGCATGAACGATCGTGTGGCTTCAGTCACTGCATAAATAGATTTTATTTGTGAAGTGTTTCAAGAAGACATCGCTCTAATAAATGACCAAATTAACTTTTTGGAATTATTTTCATGTCCTAATCAATTTGTGTTTGGCAGAATACCTATAATGAGTAATAGATGAGTTTACTTTCTTAAATGAAGAGTAGTTACCTTGTTTTTCTGTTCAAGTGCCCTAAAAAATACATTTTAAAATCTATCTTGTTGCAAATGTTTGTTGTTTTTATTGTCTCCCTGCTTGAATGTCTTTACTCGTTCAAGTGTTTAAAGCGGAGCATGGCAATATTACACACACAGCTGCACTGAACTGTGTGTCGTGTTGAGCTGAGAGTGTAGGCTATTACACTCTTGTTGCACTGTAAAATATATTGTTAAATTTACAGTAAAAAAAGAAATAAAGTAGCTGTGGTTGCTAGAAATTGGCCATTAAAAAAAAAGTGTTGACCATGTTTTTGGTATTATGGGGTTGCATGTTAGTTCCTGTGCCTTTTTCTTATTACAGTGTTTTTGTATTGATTTTTTTAAATTAATATTTTACATAATACAGCCATTAAAAAAAATTTATGAAAAAGCAAAAATTCTCCCCACCCCCACTGCGTAGTTATTATACATTTATATTATGCACACTCTTAGTTCGTTCTAAAATAAAGGAGGGAAAGAAAGGGGGAAAAAATGACAAGATTAAGCCGCAAATGTTACATTTGTATCCATTTGCTCTATGTACTGTATGTCAGCACTGGCTAATCAAATATTGCAAGAACAGGAGAAGGATTAATGGATAAATACAGAACTCCTGAAAGAAAACTAAATATTAATTGCCAGAAATTAACAAGCTTAAAACAGGACCGAAATTAGCTGTTTTTGTATTGATTTTAATATTGATAAGTGATGTTTTACTTATAACAACAACATTCAAAATATGCTTTTTACCTTAAAATATGGGTGGTACAATAGAAAATAACATGATGCGTTGGACTTAAGTGGACTGTGCATAAAACATGGCTAAATACTCGAATATAGATGGTGCACATTGTGATACACACAAGACAAACACCACACATAACATACATGACAACTAAATGCAATAGCACACAATAGGACTAAAGGCAAGCCTTTTCGTTACTCCCATAGTGTATATTTTGTCAATAATATGATGGTTTGTTTAAAAATCATGTTAGCGTATGAGGTGAGAGGTGGGCCTTTTACCCCGATTATCACGTTTTGATAATTTACTTTGTTCAATAAGCTATAGCTTCATTGCAATGTTCATTTTAAAAAATACTAAATTTACATTAAAAATTTCTGAAAGCTGCTTAAACTGCTTGATGGAGATCCTATAATATGGCAGTAGTGACAATATATTATATGATATGGTTAATATCATAAATTGAAATATACTAATGTCATTATAAATATGGTAGTTATCTCTTACGTTGGAAACCAAATTTAATAACTAATACTGACCATCTGAGTCTAACCATGTCATGTCAAGTTAGCCAGCTAGTATCGCATCAACTATTGTACCTTTAGTCCCAAAAGCAGAGGTGCTTTTAAACCCAAATACCTGAAAATCATTAACAAGACCTTTCCTCAATATAAAAAATACTGTGCTTTAATTTGTAGCATCAAGAAAAGCAGGATGCGTTATTAGCTGTCTTGGTTCTTGGAGAGAATCACAGAAACAAATCAAAACTCGGCATAGCTTACTTGTCTCACAGTTTAAGGTTTAAATGACGATAAACATGAAGAACTACACTTGTGTGAACACCTCAAAAAATCACATCCACTCCACTCTAGGTTTGTGTGCGTTTTCTGATTAAAAAGCATTTAATATTTTATAAACATTTTAAAAAGGCTGTTTACCAAACACCCGATCTTATATGCCACCATCCAAACATTATTACAGTAGGACAGAGCATAAGTTGGGCGAAGAAAATGGACATTTTCTATGCTCCGCTCATTTCCTTCCCGACAGAGGAGGTCTTTGTTTCTTTGTCCAGATCCATGACAGATTCCTGGAACTAAAGTTTGTTTCTCTTTTTGAAGCCAGTCTCACCTGACACCACGTGAATACTTTATGCAGGGGAGGGGCAGTGTAGCCTGTTGGCATGAAATTCCCATTTTTTATGCAATTGTGACTCAGCAGATGCGCCTCTCAAAAGTCGATTGCGAGATCTGGGAATGTGTGTGTAAGTTAGTTTGTTGCATTGTACGATTGCACATGAGCTGGCCTGTTTCAGGAATCATGGATGCTGTGTTTTGTGGGATTGTCATACTACAAGTTTTTACATCGGTTCTGTGCTTTCCGAACGGGGCACCAGCTTCAGCTTGTGTGGATATGATACCGAGGCATGGAGCGGTACAGCCCCAGCCAAACCCTGCTCCATACACCATCCACCCAAGCAGCACAGCCTTCCAGACTGGCAACCCCATCACAGGTAGAGGATAAAGCTCGTTTGGATGGGGTCACTACAGTTTTAGAAGAGACTTTTAGTAAATTAATTCATGCAGTTCTACATTCTTTTTCCAAGATGTGCATGTCTGAATCCAAAGCTTACCGAATTCTTGCTAAACTGAGTGTAATTCATAATTGCATGCCAAGGAAAATCCCCTTTTATCTAATATATCTATTAGGAAACTAAACTTGGAGATTACTTTTGTGTGTGTGTTATGTTTATCCCCAGCCAAACCCTGCTCCATACACCATCCACCCAAGCAGCACAGCCTTCCAGACTGGCAACCCCATCACAGGTAGAGGATAAAGCTCGTTTGGATGGGGTCACTACAGTTTTAGAAGAGACTTTTAGTAAATTAATTCATGCAGTTTCCAAGATGTGCATGTCTGAATCCAAAGCTTACCGAATTCTTGCTAAACTGAGTGTAATTCATAATTGCATGCCAAGGAAAATCCCCTTTTCTCTAATATATCTATTAGGAAACTAAACTTGGAGATTACTTTTTTGTGTGTGTGTTATGTTTATGCTTGTTTTTAGACACCATTAGGTTTGTGACATTCAGGCCAAATTCTGGGAATATTTTAACTGCATTTATAACAATTATTAAGCCATTTAATTTAATGCATGTATATCACAAGTGCCTAAAATGAGGATAATTGTATCACTTGTTGTAACGTTTGTTCTCTTGTTGTTTGTCAGTTGTAATCAAAGGTCCTGACTATAGAGGCGTGCTCCTTGAGGCTCGCTCTGGATCTGACTCAAAAGCATTAGGATCCTGGCAGACACCTCCAGATAACACAAAGTTCTTAGAGGTGAGACTTTGGACTATTATGCTTCTATTTTACTGCAATATTTATATCTGAAATAATAAGATCAGATATGATTTAAATGATACAGAACCCCTTTTTATAATTTAGAAACATTAGATTAATTATGGAAACTGCGATGCATAGTGAATTCTTCTCAGGGACTACACATATCTAGTCATTTTGTACACTCTAAAAAATGCTGGGTTAAATACAGCCCAGTGCTGGGTAAAACAGGGACAAACCCAGCAATTGGGCTGTTTTGACCCAGCGGTTGGGTTAAATGTTTAAATGTTTAACCCATCCTTCTGGGTAGTAACCCAACCGCTGGGTCAAAACAACCCAATTGCTGGGTTTGTCCCTATTTTACCCAGCACTGGGTTGTATTTAACCCAGCATTTTTTAGAGTGTAAGATTAAAACGCCTTTTTTTTTTTTTCCATTCCTTGTTTTTGTTTTGGTGGTGTAACAAAACATTCAGAAATATGTCATTGGTACACCTGTTAGTAAATCACTGGCATTATAAATTTGGTAACTGTAGTCACTGTATGTTTCCATCCACCTATTTTTATGCGCATTTTGGATCATTGCATAAAAACCGCTGGATGGAAACGCCAAGATGCGCATAAATTCTAAAAATGCCCATTAAAAACCTATGCACACAACTGAGTAGGATAAACTCTTTATCCGATAAGAAACTGCGACACATTTACTGAATAAATTCCACCATGCGCATTGAAAAAGTCATGTGACTATATGTTGTTTTGGTCGTTCTGAAAGGCCTGAGCAAAGTCTGTCATCAAAGTATTTCTGTATAATTACTGTCTCACACGACTGCGTTCCCAAACAGCAGCATCCACCTCTAAAAGCATTGACTGCATTTATCGTGTTACGTCTGCTCTCTCTGAAGCACAAGTCATTTATTACAAATGAAAATTATTATATTCAGTGGCTTCTCCTAGTTTTCTTAGAGATATTTAGTGCCAGTTTATCAGGAAGTGATGATTTTGTTCTCTTTGACTCGTTGGATGGAAACGATGCTTTATTCGCAAATGTTTCATGCGATATTCCAGTTAAGTTAAATTCGCATCTTTGGATGGAAACCTGTCTTGAGGGTCATACACTTGTGTTCCCTAGTGTTCAGGAAACCAGCAAGGTGCCATCACCCATGCCAACACCAACATAAAAAACAACTCCACCGTCTACACCTGGATTCCACCAGCTACAGCGAAAAACATCGTCTTCGTGTAAGAGTGAACAAAAACCATCTCAAATTGATACCACATGACTGTGCTAGTTTGTGCAAAAGAGTCATTTGTATGCTGATACTGTTGTGCATTACAGATTAGAAGTTTTGTCTCCCAAGTAATCCAGAGAAATGATTAAAACACTTCAATATTTGTCCACTTCATCCTCAGGGCGACTGTAGCCCAGCAGCGCACTGTGTTCTGGGTACAAGTGATGTCCTCGACTTCAAGTGAGTAAATCTGAAAATCTGGAATCCCTTTTGTTTTATACTGTATATGTGACCCTAGACCACAAAACCAGTCATAAGGTTTCAGTTCTCTCTCTCTCACACACACCTCACACACACACACACACACACACCTCACACACACACACACACCTCACACACACACACACACACACCTCACACTCACTCACACACCTCACACTCACACACACACACACACACACCTCACACACACACACACACACACACACACACACACACACCTCCCACACACACACACACACACACACACACAAACACACAACACACACAAACAAACTCTCTCTCTCTCTCTCTCTCACGCAGACACACACACACACACTCTCTCTCGCTCTCTCTCTCTCTCACACACACACCACCCCCCCTCTCTCTCTCTCTCACACACACACACACACACACACACACACATATATATACATATATGTATATATATATATTAAAAGGCTGTGAAGTTGTAATGACATTCGTACAAATAAAGAAAAATGTCCTTATTTGAAATTGATTGAAGTTTAAACACTGATTAAATAATCTGACTTTTGTCTCTTAATTATCAGCTGAAGGAGGAGGAACATCACTTGACGTACACAATAGTGCTGAAAGGACTGTCACGCCTGTCCTGATCATTCCTCTTGTTCTTCTGGCAAATGTTCAATTTCTACTTGCTTAAGAATGGTCCAGACTGATTGAATTATATTAGGTCAGCTACTCCTTATTAAATATTTAATCAGCATTACACATTTAGGCTCACAGTGTTATTTGTCTGACTCATGTTTAGCTGATACTTGCGTGGGTGTTTAAAAAAAAAAAGATGAAATAAAATAAATAAATATAATGCACCATGGTGTTCTTTTGTGCTTTGGGTTTGTTCGTTATGTATTTATTTTTGTATGTGCATTATCCCATATAAATTCAGATGTTGTTAGGCTACTCTGGGGAACATTATCCTGCTGATTGCACAACAGTTTCTCAAGTGAATAAGTAAATGGACATGAGCTTGTGATTTAAATGGAAACAACTTTAATTTAAGAATGAGACCAAGGGGAGCATATGCAAATGAACTAGACAAAAGGAGTGTTTGGGACACAGTCACACAGGCAATATTGTTGCGGCTTCTTTACTAAGGCCCACTGGGTGATTTAAGGTCCAATTCTCACTATTAACTAAATATTAACTATGACTTTTGCCTCAATAAACTCCTAATTTGCTGCTTATTAATAGTCAGTAAGGCAGTTGTTAAGTTTAGGTATGGGGTGTATTAAGGGATCTAAAACATGGCCATGCAGAATAAGGCATTATTAATGTGCTTTATAAGTGCCAATAAACAGCCAATATGCTAGTAATATGCATGCTAATAAGCAACTAATTAATAGCGAGAATTGGTCCTTAAAGTGTTACCGAAAATTCTTATTCAAGATGCAGAAAAATGCATTCATTACTTCAATGCTGCATTACCATAATGTGCTGTCTAAACTTAAAAACGGCTTTCTACAAAGTAAATACTGCCTATTTTTTCAAAGCATGTGAAACCTTTCAAACAATAATATGCTGCATTACATCACTATGTTGCATGTTTAATTCAGCAAGTTCTCTCAAAAGTATTAGTACTAAACTTTAACCAGAGTTAAAGGCTTTCTTCATTTTTGATGAAACACAAAGAACAGTCACATTACAAACAGAACACCATTATAACCAATGTGAAGACCTTTGTGTGTCCAGAGGTGACCGCTCAGTAAATACAGAGCAATGATATGTTTGATAGCGACAACCGGTAATAAAACATAGCACAATGGAAAACTGTTTCCAATTATTGTTGTTGCTTTTCAGTGATAATGCAGCTGTAATTACTTCCGGTTCATTCAGTGCATGGTCCAGCCAAGCACATTGTGGTTTACGGTAATCCAATAAGTACCAGTGATAAGTCAGGGAAGAGAAGAAACATAAAAATCAATAAATCAATAAATAAAAATAAAAAAGTGCATATATTATCTTTTATATAACATATATTTAAGTACTTGTACAACACTAGTCAGGCTTCACAAGTAAAGCAAGAGACTATTCACTAAATACATCGGTGTTTTCTTCATATAGTGAATTCTATAAAGTATTTAAAGGATCTTCTTGAGCTCGTCGTACAGAACCAGGACGAAGGCTCCACCCATGCCTCTGAGCACATTGGACAAAGTACCCTTGAAGAAGGCCTTGCCACCCTCATCACGTGCAATCTTCCTCCAGCAGTCAATGGTGCCACTGTACATTATGTCAGCTAAAAAAAATTAAATAATAATAATTAAACACTTAAAGGAATATTTCATCCAAAAATGAAAATTTGCTAAAAAAAATTACTCACCCTAAGGCCATCCGAGATTAGGATGAGTTTGTTTCTTCATCAGGTTTGGAGAAATGTAGCACTGCATCAGTGTCTCAGTAATGGATGCTCTGCAGTGAATGGGTGCCGTCAGAATGAGACAGCTGATAAAAACATCACAAGTAATTCACAGCACTCCAGTCCATCAGTTAACATATGAGTCCATAAACCATAATAACGGTAATAGTGAAAAAGTTCATCCCCAAATCGAAATCCACCAACATACTTGTTTGGACTGTTTTTGCTGGTAAATGGTGTTTGATCTGTGAATATTTGCCTACTGATTCAGACGAGATTACTTTTTCGTTGGGAAAAACAATATTATGGTTTAAAGTAAAAAAAAAACATCTTGATGAATGTATTACAAACACAGATTTTAGCTTCTCAAGTCATTAACTGATGGACTGGAGTGCTGTGGATTATTGTGATGTTTTTATCAGATGTTTGGACTCTCATTCTGACGGCACCCATTCACTGCAGAGCGTCCATTGCTGAGACACTGACGCAATGCTACATTTCTCCAAATCTGTTCCCTTGAAGAAACTCATTTTCATCAAATTTTCATTTGCAGGTGAACTATTGCTTTAACATCATATTAAGACTGACCACAACCAAACATCAAAAGGCCAATGAATTTTGTATGGAACATGGGAGGAAACGGGTTGGACATTACCTCCTTTACGCCCAGACTGCATCATCATACGACGACGTACTGTGTCGAAGGGATACGATGCAACACCAGCGACGGCAGTGACTGACTGAGCAATCATCCAGCTCACCACAATATGAGTGTTCTTTGGGTCAGGTAGCATGCCTGTAAAACAAAGATATTTCAATGAAATACCAAACTTATAAACATTATATTTAAAACAAGACAGATAAGCTAAATTTTACATGTTGCATGTTGGAGCTTTCATATTTTAAGTGGTACAACTTAATTATATGCTTCTTTCAGGACTCGAGATTGTTGTTAGAAATTATACATACAGTGTATTGGGAGGTGGGAGTACAGAAACTAATAACAATATCAATATTACTATTTTATTTTACAAATACAGTAAGTGCAGTTACTCACACTATTATTGCATATTCTGTCTCATGACATGCACATTTGACAGTAAGCTGCTGAATTTAAGTTGGGATGCATATGTAAATGTACTATATTAACATCACTATAAGTAAAAAGTGTAAATAATCAAAGAGAGCTGGGCAACTTTGTAGTGGCACCCATGTGACCTGTCGAACTGACAGGAAGAAAAGTTACAAAATATGGCCATTTAGTCATTTAAAAGTTTTAAAGTCATTTAGCATAGAGCTGTCGGGACCCAAGCACTCAAAGTGTGAAGGGCCCTTGTTTTCCTAAGGATTACTATTCTTTTAGGGCACAAAGCACTGAAAGTGCTTGTTTTTCATGAGGATGATTATTATTTTAAGCAGCAAAAGTTTTTATTGGTAAAAAAGTTTGAGAACCACTGTGTTAGGCATAGGCACAAGGTAGCATGCCTAGAACAGCCTTTGGAGTCATATTTGTGTGCAGGCAACAGATGCTGAAAGCTGCCGCTGTTGTATGAACATGCATAGAAAACAATGTTTCCACATTTTAAAGATGTGCTGCTTCTTATTCACTGTGTGACCCTATTTACACTTTGTTTTGTTAATGTTGGAGGCTCCTTATTAGAGGACAGAACTGATAAATCATAGGCTAGAGAGTTGATTTTGAATGGGATTTGATTTGCGTTACCAACCATGACTGATTTTCAAACCCTGGTTCTTAACAAGCTTGACAACTTTTTAAAGTAGTCATACTTAGTCAATTAGTCATTAGCACTGCCCAACAGGAAGCTGGCCATTTTGGATTTAATATGCATTTAATGTGAATTTTAAATACTCCTTCAAGAGGATTAATGCAATTCAGCTCAACACTGATAAATATTATGAATTTAATATGGAAAATGTAATCTCTCAATGAACTCTGCAATATTGTCCAGTTGGTTATTTATGTTTTTTGTTTGTTTTTTGTGAAATAAAATAAATGTAAGTATGCAAGTGAAAGTGCAATAATTCTAATGAAATGTAAATCAATATTACTCAAATGAAAACATTTGTGACCCTGGAGCACAAAAGGAGTCTTAAGTCGCTGGGGTATATTTTATAGCAAACACCAAAAATGCATTGTATGGGTCAAAATTATAAATTTTTCTTTTAGGCCAAAAATCATTAGGATATTAAGTAAATATCATGTTCGATTAAGATATTTAGTAAATTTCCTACCGTAAATATACCAAAACTTAATTTTTGATTAGTAACTTAAACTTAATTTTTGATTAGAACTTCATTTGGACAACTTTAAAGATGATTTTCTCAATATTTAGATTTTTTTTGTACCCTCAGATTCCAGATTTTCCAGAATAGTTGTATGTCGGCCAAATATTATCCTATCCCAACAAACCATACATCAATGGAAAGCTTATTTATTCAGCTTTCAGATGACGTATAAATCTCAATTTCGAAAAATTGACCTTTATGGTTTTGTGGTCCAGGGTCACATTTGTGATAACTGGTGATCAATATAATTGTGATTTTCAGTTGAACAATTATTGTGTAGCCCTACCTCAGCCCCTGATGTTAGCATATACTAGTCATGGCCCTCAAGGGGCAATCTGCCTTATGTCTAACTCACCTTTTGCGGTGTCATAGATGCCAAAGTAAGCCGCCCTGTAGATGATGATGCCTTGCATAGACACGTTGAAGCCCTGATACAAGCCCCTTAGACCATCAGACTTGAAGATCTTTACTAAACAGTTTCCAAGGCCTGTGAATTCCCTCTCTGCACCAGCCTTTCCGACATCAGCAGACAAACGGGTTCTGGCAAAGTCAAGGGGGTAAACCAAGCACAGAGACGTGGCTCCAGCAGCACCACCAGAGGCGAGGTTCCCAGCAAAGTACCTCCAAAACTGGGTGCGCTTGTCCACGCCATCCAGGAAAATCTTCTTATACTTATCCTTGAAAGCGAAGTTGAGAGCTTGTGTTGGGAAGTACCTAATGACATTGGCCAAGTTGCCTCTCCAGAAGGACAGGAAGCCCTGCTCCTTGGGAATACGTACTACACAGTCTACAATACCTTTGTATTGTTTGTCTGCTGTGATTTGCTTGCTGGCGTGCTGGACCTGTAAGAAAAGGGCACAATTTCACAAACAATTAATGTATAAAACAACACTGAACGCAACCCTTTCAAATTTATTGCAATGACCTTTGTGTCACCAGTTGTAAGACACAAGTTGTCAGTCAACACAAAATATTTCAATACCCCTTCAAAACATGTATTGGTCCACTTTTCCAGAAGAGAGACAAAATGCTTATATCTGCTATACCTTTGTCAGCTTTAGTATACAAATGGAAAGTCAACAGATATAGACTAAAGGTCACAATATTTTCAGTGGCAGTCTTGGTTGCGACCCTTCATGAG